ACTCAGGCCCAGGACCTCCGTCTTCGCTGGGTTTAGTTTCAGCCGGCTCAGCCTGAGCCACTCAGCCACAGCCTGTAATCCCTGGTGCAGATCTTCTGGGTCGGAGCCCAACCGGCCGCCCAACATCAGATAGAGCTGGGTGTCATCTGCATACTGATGACAGCCCAGCCCATACCTCCTGGCAATCTGGGCGAGAGGGCGCATATAGATGTTGAAGAGCATCGGGGAAAGCACTGCCCCCTGAGGCACACCACATTCAAGCGGGTGCCTCTGGGACTGCTGTTCCCCTATTACCACTCTCTGTCCCCGACCTTGGAGAAAGGAGACAAGCCATTGAAGGGCGGACCCCTGTATCCCCACGTCGGCAAGGCGGTGGTCAGCAGCTGGTGGTCGACCGTATCGAACGCAGCCGACAGATCTAACAACACCAGTGCCGCCACACCACCTCGATCCAGATGTCTCCGGAGGTCATCAGTAAGGACAACCAGCGCCGTCTCCGTCCCATGACCAGGGCGAAAGCCGGACTGGAGTGGATCCAGGACAGAAGCATCATCCAGAAAGCCCTGAAACTGTGCCGCCACCGCCTTCTCGATCAATTTGCCCAAATAGGGCAAATTGGACACTGGCCGATAGTTGGCCAATTCGGTCGGGTCCAAGGTTGTTTTTTTCAAGAGAGGGCGGACCATCACTTCCTTGAGTGCCTCTGGGAACCGCCCCTCCAAGAGGGACTTGTTAACAATCTCCCTCAAGGCACCTCGAAACCCCTCTTGGCCCGCTTTAATGAGCCAGGAGGGGCACGGATCAAGGTCGCACATGGTTGGGCGTACAGATACGAGTTATCTGTCAACTTCCTCCAGGCTGAGCTGGTCAAAGCATTCTAAACCCGGACCCGAAGACGCGCAAGGGGCCTCGAGTTCGCTAACTGTTTCAACTGTGGCGGGGAGGTCGCGGCGGAGCGACAAGACTTTATCCGCAAAATAGCTCGCAAAAGCCTCACAGCCAGTGTCCAATCCCCTATCATTTTGTCTGCCCTGAGGCAGAGCCGTCAAAGACCGAATTGTTCTAAATAATTGGGCTGGGCGAGAGCTAGCGGACGGAACCCTGGCTGCGTAGAAATCCCTCTTCACAGCCTTGACTGCCATAGGATCTCATAAACGTCCTGTAGGATGCTCTTGTAGCCTTATCGCAGGCTCGGCGCCACCGTCTCTCTAACCGTCTTTACTCTTGCTTCATCAGCCGCAACCTCTGGATATATCAGGGGGCCAGCCTAGAGCGAGGGCGCAGAGGGCGCCGGGGAGCGATCACATCGATGGCTGTGGAAAGTCAACTGTGCCAATCGTCCACAAGCTCATCCAACAAACCGCCTATACAGGGTCGGGGCGGGACGTTCACACGGGCCTTCAGGGCGTAGTGGTCCGACCATGGCACTGCAGCTGCAGTGATCCAGTCCACTGTAATCCCCATTGTGAAGATTAAATCGAGCGTGTGCCCCACCTGGTGCGTAGGGACCAATACACATTGGGAGAGTCCCAGCGCCGCCATGGACATTACTAGGTCCGTAACCCGGCTGGAGGTCGCGTCATCGGCATGGACATTGAAGTCACCCAAGACTAATAGCCTCAGGTGCTCCAATGCCCAGCCTGGTACGGCCTCCAGCAGGGACGGCAGGCAACTGGCCGGCGCGTTAGGCGGACGGTACACCAGCCAGATTGCCACACTCTCCTCGGCTTCCAGCAACAGGCCGATACACTCTAGGCCCGCAATCTCCAACGTAGGGAGCGCCCTGAAGGAGTAAGCCTCCCGTACAAACATCGCCACTCCTCCCCCCCGTCCCCTCATCCGGGATTGGTGTAGGACCGAGTACCCCGGGGGGCAAGCTGGGCGAGCGCTACGGTCTCCCCTTCCCGCAGGGGTGATCAGTGGGGAGATGGAGATTCTACTGCATCCATGATAGAGGATTTTGAAGAGGGGGAACTCCTCTCAGAAGAAGAAGAAGAAGAAGAAGAAGAAGAAGAAGAAGAAGAAGAAGAAGTCGTCTCAAGCAGTCCAATCAGTTTTTCAAAGCCGAGGACTATCATTACCTTCTGACTAAGGCTGTGAAGGCGTTAGAGTGCCAAAACATCCCCCATTCTAATGACCAGAAGCCTCCTGGGTCCAAATTTAAGTCCAAATCCAGGGGGAATTCTGAGTTTTTTCCACCCGAGGAGAATGTGGAAAAGGGTTTTCCCTTCCCTGAGTACTTTGAACATCAGCTTAGGGTAGAATGGGATAGACCTATGGCCAACAGGCAGTTTCCCCCATTCGTGAAAAAACTACACAGTGTGCCAATGAATTGTTGCAGGTACCTCCTGTGGATGCTCCAATAGTGGCAGTCCAGTATGCAGATCTAGTGTCTGAAGATGGACAGGGGTCAATTTGAGATCCTATAGAAAAGAAGGCTGAGGCAATACTTAAAAGGATCCATGAGGTGATTGCTATGATGGTGAGGGTGTCAACCTCAGCTTTGATTGCCTCTAGAGCTGCTATAGTACGGATCCAGATTCCACAAGCCTGCCTTCAGCAAGAATGACAGATGGAAATGAGATTCCAAGCCCAAGCAGGCATGACTATGCATCGCTTCTGGTGGGGGCTCATCTACTTCATTTTCACCCGTGTGTGGATGGATTCCCAGGCAGACTCTTGGGCCTTGGAAATCATGTTGAACGGCTACACCATAGAGTTCCGCAGTCACCCACCAGAAAGATTCCTAGTTTCACCAATCAGCAAGTCAGCAAGAGGGACATTGTCAACAAGGCCATCTGCCATCTTTTGGACATTCGTGCCATAGAACCGGTTCCACATTCTGAACGAGGACAGGTTCCCAAGAAGAATAGTGACTGGAGAGCCATACTGGATCTCAAATTTCTGAACAGGTTCATCAGGCTTCGTCATTTTCAAATGGAAACCTTGAGATCCAAAATAGACTCTCTTCTACCAGATGAATTCCTCACAGAGGCCTACCTTCATGTTCCAGTTCATCCACCGCACAAATGTTTCCTTCGCTTTTGTGTGCGTTGTCAATACTTACAATACAGGGCACTTCTGTTCAGCCTGTCCATGGCACCCAGACTCTTTTCCAAGCTAATTGTCAAGCCTGTAGTATATCTCAGAAGACAGGGGATTCATGTCCACCCATATCTCGACGCCGTAGTGGTACAGGCTGTCAACAGGGAGGCTTCCAGCTGGAACACCCAAGTGACACTACAGTGTCTTCAGAACCACGGGTTTCTGGTCAATACTGTCAAGAGCTCTTTCTGTCCATTCCAGAGAATCGAACACTTGGGGGTGGTGATCGATGCAAGATGCGATCCGCTTTTCTTGCCATTGCCCAAGGCCAAGAGGATCCAGGAGTTCCTCATCAAGCCTGATGACCTTGGCCACGCTCCTGGGCCTAATGATTTCCAGCATAGACATGGTGCAGTGGGCGTGTCTTCATTCCAGACCCCTACAGTGTTTTCTCCCACAAGATGGCCTCCACCTCAGAGGGAGAACGACCATTGGTTACTCATCGTGAAGGGTCCTTCTCTGAGGTTTGGAGGACTTCTTGGTCCTCCCAGGTCATCATGTTCTTCACTGTGTGTGTATATATATATGTGTGTGTGTGTGTGTATCTTTATTCTGTTTCTGGTTACACAGAGTTTAATCGCAAGTTAAAAATCAGAGTTCAACTATCTGTTGTGTTCCTTACTATTCCTTCTTCTGAGCTATAGTACTGCTTTCGGAGTCCCAAAACTGAGTTGAGGGTGACTCCCACCACAGGAAACAGTTTGAAGTTCCTGCCTCCCTGAGAGATGGATGGGAATTACCCACAAGATGTCCTCCAAATCTCAGAGGAGAAGGACCCTTCACGGTGAGTAACCAATGGTCGTTCACAGTGTTTGTTATTTAGTTTAAGGGCAATAGTTTGGTGGCATACTCACTGCTTTTGGAGTTCCAGAACTGAGGAGATGGGTCATTATGAAGGTGCCAACAGGAAGTGGAAAAAAGTGTTTCCTGCCTCCCTGAAGGAATGGTGGGAATAACCCATAGAGATGTTCTCCTAACCTCAGAGGAGAAAGCCCCTTCACGAGAAGTGCCAATGGGCCATTTTCCAGTGACTACTTTGTTGTGAGGAATGGGAAATGTATCCAAATGTGTTCGCTTATGAAGGCAAGGAAGACTGTAGGATGGATCCTGAGGATTTGGTCAGGTGAAACTTCCTTCCGCTGAAAGAGCGTTTGTCTGTTCCAGGAAGCCTTTGCAAAAGGAGAAGATTCCTTCTGCTTGAGGAAAGCCTCTTTGCTGGTGGAGATCCACAGGACCCAGTCCTATTTTAATTAGAAGCTTCATTTAGCAATGAACTTGATACATGCCCTGAAGTTCACCCTCAAGTAATTCTTTTCACAAAAACATTTTATCTGTCTACTTCAAGTATGGTTCTTTGAATCCTTTGCCTGTCAACTTTTTCCTAGCAAATTTTCACAACTTGTCAGATGTTATAATTTTCAGAGGTCTTTTCTCACTACTAATATATTCTTTGATCATGTTGATCCAATATTCTGGGTGTGATTTTTTAAAAGATGCTGGCTGTATTCCAACTGAGTTAATGGAATCTCCTGGTAGCTTCATGGGGAAACAAGTCATCACTGTAAGAATGAGGGGTAGGAAGAAAAGGAAGAAGTGATGAGAGGGTGAGGGGAAGAAGAAAAGAATTTACCAGTGTAAATGTATTTGGGGCAGATTCAGTTACCGTGATCACATGCGGGATTTTACAGAGATCACAGAGAAAAGTGGCCAGCTGCTCACCTCTGACTGAAGTTCTTTACCCTCCTTTCCTGCTGGGATTTTCTGTCCAGGGGAATGGTTTTTGATAGTCAATTAAGTGGGAAGAAGTTTACCTCTCCCATCAAGTCATGTTGAAGTGGTTGAGGAAAGAAGATTTTAATGGCAGTCTTCTGGCTTCTTCTTTGGAATGTTCTGAAGCAGTTATTACCTGAACAGAGTAGGCCAAGGTTATAGTTGCCAATATATTCTCCCACACAGAAACCCCTACAATGAGTAAATGAGTTACTGTCATGCATCTTGCCAGTGTTAGTAGAAAACTTATAATATTTTGTGTCCATAGAATTTTTCAGTTTTGAAGTATATTTTCAGACTGTTCAAAGAAATTGACCATTTACTGTGCTAGTGCACTGATAGCTAAGTGGAGAATTTGAACCCAACTCTAAAGAACGTATTGCCTTTTTTACAGAGCAGTCTGACAGGGTACTGTGCCCCAGTAGTTTAAAGAGAGGATTGACAGTTCTAGCCATGCCCTACCAGAGTGTGATGGTTTACCTTATTTCCTTATATCGGCTAATTGAAGAGATTTTTGATAGGGAGCATTCTTTTCCCCTTCTTCCTACAATACACAGATTTCTAACTTGGAGGTTTAATTTGGCCATTAAGGCCCTGACTTGTGATCTATTTGAACCACATCATGAAGTTCTATGAAGGCAATTATGTTAAAGACCTTTTTTGTGGTCTCAATGACTTCAGCCTGTAGAGTCTTATGAATAGGAACTCATCTTTATCAGAAAGGGCTTGTGTGTGTTCTATCGGGACATGGTGGTTTTTCAGTTGACCAAGATTAACTTGCATGTTCTGCAGATCTGAGGAGATCTACCTCCCTAACCTTGTCTTAATCTGTCAGACTAAAACAAGTGGAACTGGCTACTCTCTATGTCCATAGGGATTTTTGCATGTATATTTTTAGAGCTAAACATTGGTGTAGGTCTGATTTGTTCTTGGGGGCATTGTTCCCCCCAATAGAGATGGTAACCAAGACTTCACTGAGTAGGTGGCTGAAGCAGTGCATCACATTAACTTACCAGACAGCCAAGATCCCTCCCCTCAAGGGTATTCAGCCCAATCTGTTAGGAGGACAGCCACTTCCACAGCCCTGGGGGCTTCCATGGGGGAGATATGTAGGGTGATTATCTGGCCCAGTCCTATCTTTATACACTCTACAAGGTAATCAAGTGGACATCTTCGGATACAACCCTTGGCCACTGAGTCCTGCAGCAGGTAGTGCAAGAGGATTAAGTGTGTAGAGACTTTTACCCACCCTGGGGACAGTATGTTTTGTTACATCCCCACACATCCGGGTCTCCTAGTCCTTCCAAGGGTGAACAGCACATTGGCACTTACTATGAAGGTCCATTATCTTGGAAGTGACTAGGAGACTTGGGTCTACCCCCCAAAAAAAGAAAATGAAAAATAGAAGTGCAGATAGAGATGTAGAAAAAGAGGGAAGTTTCCTGATCAGATGACCGACCCAGTTTTTAGTTTGGGTTGGATTGTGCTGTTGTGTTTGCAAGGTTTTTCAGGTTACATTGTGTCCCAGGGGACCTACGGAAGTTTCTGGACTGAAGGGGAGATGAGGAAACTCTTCCCCTCTGGAACAATAAAACTGGACTTCCTGCCACCAAAAGTGGAGGGAAGAAAGTTCCTCACACATCCGGCTCTCCTACTTACTTCCACAGAGAATAAACAGTAAGTACCAGTGTGCCATTCTGGAGTTGAAAGCCATATATCTTGCACTAAGGCACTTCCATCTACAGATAGCTCATATACACATACTAGTGAGGACAGCCAAAGTATCAGCCAAAGCTTACATAAACAAGTAGGGGGGATCGAGATTGTCCTTCCTTCACAAGGCAGCAACAAAGATACTAAACTAGGCAGAAAAAAATCTGTCAATTTGGGCAGAGCACATAAAAGGGACTTTGAACAACTAAGCAGTCTGGCTCAGCAGGCAGATGATTCAGGACGGAGAGTGGTCCCTCAAGAAGGAATTATTCCTGCCAATCACCAGGCTCTTCGGCCTCTCACAAATAGATCTCTTTGCATCCCCAAGATATCACCAACTCAACAGATTTTTCACAAGTTTTTTCCACACCAGAGCAGAGGCAACAGGCGTGTTCACCTCTCAGTGGCCAAAGAACCCTGTTATTTGCCTTTCCACCCATCCCGATCTTATCCAAGGTGCTCAGGAATATCAAGGAATAAGGAGTGGACATCATTTTAGTGGCCCCGTTCTGGCCACACAGGCCATGGTTCTCAACTCTACAAGAGATGTTGATAGAGCCCCCCCTGGAGGTTACCAGTGTCACTAGACATTCTGCACCAGGGACCCATCTGGCATCCACAACCAGATTGGCTGCACTTGACCACCTGGAGGTTGAGAGGTTTCCTTCAGCTGGTGTATGACACTGATATCACAGAAACCCTCTTGGCCTCCAGAAGACAATCAGGTAACAGAATTTATAATACATCCTCGAAAGCGTTCATATGTTGGTGCAGAAGAAAGAAGGTTGATCCACTGAAACCATCACTTAATTCAATCTTGGCATTCATGCAAGAAGAAGTCAAACGAGGGCTAAAAGCTTCCACTCTCAAATGACAGATCACAGCCTTGGCCACGATCCTGCCCCAAGTCAAAGGCACAAGCATTTCACGGCGTCCTCACATACAATGTTTTCTTTGAGGCATGACCTTGAGAGACCCACCACAGGTTTATAGGCTCCCCACATGGAAGCTACATAAGGTTCTTTCAGCACTTACCAATCCACCATTCAAGCCACTCAAGGAAGTCTCATTGAAATGGCTGAGGACGAAGACTTCTGTTCTTATGGCTATCACATTTTCCAGAAGGGTCTCTGAACTAAGTTCGCTCTCAGTAAAACTCGAGCTATGCACATTTCACAAGGACAAGGTGGTACTTACACCAGATCATACTTTTATGTCAAAAGTTAATTCCGCCTTCATAGAGCTCAAGAAATATTTCTTCCATCCTTCTGCTCCATCCCAAATCATCAAAGGGAGATGGCATTCCCTTGATGTCCGAAGAGCTCTCAAAACATATATTCATTGAACCAGTCACATTAGAAAAACCAATGTGTTATTTTTGTCTGTCTCTCCACCTAACAGAGGACAAAGGATGTCCAAGTCGGCCATAAGTAGTACACTCAAAACGTGCCTAGTCAAAGCCTATACAACTTCACAAGCTTCTTATCCCTGCTGGCATGGCAGCCCATTCTGTCAGGAGTGCTGCCACCAATGCTGCATTTGCAAGACATGCAATAGTTGAGGAAGTTTGCAAACTCATAAAGTAGTTAGTCAGCAGGCTCACTTTTTGTCTCAGCCATATTGCTTACCTGTTTTTTCTTATCTACGTTGCTGTTCTATTCTTCTTTGTTTGTTCTCTTTCCTAGAGTTGACATTATAGTTTAACTGCTTTCGGGGTTACCAACACTGAAGGAGGCAACTCCCACAGGCTAGAGACAGGAAGTTGAAACAATTGTTCTTGCCTCCCTGATTGGATGTTGGGATTCACTCCTCAAAACGTCTTCCTTACTTCAGAGGAGAAGGACCCTTCACAGGAAGTATCCAGTG